GTGTGTGGAGGATGGACTGACCCTGCGCCAGGACTTTCCTCCAGCAAACTGGGCTGTGCCTTGAAATAACTTGTTATCACCTCTTCTCTCGTGCCTTCCTTGAGCCCACAGGCTGCCTAATTACACCTGTATGTGGGTTCCCCTTAGATGGCGTTGTTCCAGTCCTTCATGAGTCCTTTCATGACTTCTAGCTGTGTCTCTCTACTTGAGCAGACTGTTCCACTCTGGACCACATTAGGGTATGTCTTCCTTTAGTAGGCTCAGATTAGGCAGTAAAGCTAACGCATGGCTAATTGTGGGGAAATAGTATTGCCACAAAATGTTGACTAAGCAAATAATTATTCACCATCTGAGATTCAGTTGAAGCCCCTCCTGTACCCACAGTGACATTCCCATGACCCGCCTGATGTCTGCTGAGTGCCTATAGTGCATCTGGTCCTGTTTATGGTGTTAGGTACCCTGACACAAATACCCGGAAGCAAGCAAAGACCTTCTTTAAATATCACTGAAGTTTCCATTCTCATCACTCATTCCTGAGACTCAGAACCTCACACCTGGAATTTCAGGTGCCCATCCATTCACTTAACTTCACTCTCTCCTGTGTCCTGTGCTCAGTTTCCACTAGCGCTGCACGCATCAGGTACATGGCACAGTATCTAGCATACAGCTGTGTTCCATAAATGTTAAGCAAATGAATGAATGAATCTCGCAAGCTCCCTATCACAATACTAATGTTGTGCGCTAATGCTTGTGTCTTCCTGAAATTCATATGGAGAAGCCGTGACACCCAAGGTGATGGCATTTAGAGGGCCTTTGGAATCGGTTAGGCTCGTGGGTCATGAAGGTGGGACTCTTGGGATGGGGATTTACAAGGTTACAAGAACAGGAAAAGAAAACAGAGTTCCTACTCTCTGGTGCGACAGGACAAAGTAGAAAGTGGTTTTCTGTGGGCCAGGAAGAGAGCCCTGGCCAGGAACTGAACACTGCTGGGCTTGGTCTTGGACAGAACTGTATAGAAAGTAATTTCTGTCGTTGAAGCCACCAACCTACAGGATTTTATTGTGGGACTCCAAGCTGACTAAATTTCACCTACTCTGTTCTGTCTCTGTATCCCCATAAACACGCTAGTATTATTTGTTAAGCTTCAGTCCTGAGTATGGCTT